AATAAAAAAAACAATAGAAGAATACCATGTATATTCATAAAATATGGAAATATTGTACTTATCGAAATGTAGTATAATATAAAATATTTGAGAAATCCAAAAGTGCACGCAGTACAGTGCACTTCATTTAACTTTTATGAAAAAAATTAAATTGTTTTCCTGAATTTTAAAATATATTATTTACTTGTTTTAAATTTAGTGCTCTGCTATTTAAACAATTTAAAAAATAGTAATGCTTACCAAAATAAATCGATTACACAAAGTATAACATCGATAAATGCATACATGGTACATATGTACTTTGCCTATCAAAGGCGAAAATATATGAAAGTGCCTTTAAATTTTTAATAACAATAAAACTTAAAATCATTTTATTATGAAATATAGCTTATATTATGAAATAGGAAACCAGTTGATGTAACTCTGCAGCTAATTAAAAAACGGTCTCGATACGTCAATTTGTTCGGGAGTTATCGTGGTCACCTACAAAATCAACATTCAAAGTAGCAATATAAAAACGGTTACTCATATTATCGTATATTTGCGATATGGTTATGATAAAAGCATTTTGAGAACACAAAATTAATTGACCTTGCGTATAGAGCAAAGAGGTTTAAATATATATATATATATATATATATATATATATATATATATATATATATATATATATATATATATATATATACTATTAATGTCTTTGGTGTCGAGATAATAATAATAACGCTTCGCGTTATGAGGCATGCAGTAAGGATAATCGTAGTTTTATTAAAATCTATACTATTTCATATTTTTTCTATAATTATTACACGTGCAAAATAATCAATTAAATAAGAACTACAAATTATGTCGTTCTTTCATTTTCTAAACGATTATGAATTTTATGTACAATGTACATAATTAAATTTGATATATTTTTAGATTATGGACGGGAGAGCAATATTGTGGTCATTCGGTTAACACAGTCACTTTCTTATAATTCCAAAGCTACAGCCTTGTTTGCACAGATGACTTTGTGATAGGATAGCTCTTGTAATATATAAATCAATGATAGCTCTTCATCAGTCAATCAAATAATAAAGAGTCAGAAGGGCGACGCTTTACTGACGCCATTTAACACGCCAAATTTTAGGCGATTTTAGTATGATGTAATGAGATCAGTTTTTTTTTTAGGTATATTTTCGAAGTGTTCCTAATTTTTGCTAAAGCTTGTTTGCTATTCTTTTCTTAATATATTAGTTATATTATACTACTTTGTGTTTTTGTCTCTGTCCTCCTCCTAGTTTTGGTGTCATAGGGTGGAAAGGCTTAAGGTGACCATATTACCCTCACGTAGCTTAGATTTTAACTAATAATAACTTAATTTTTAGTTTGAATAATTTCTGTTGATTTGATCAACAATCACTACACGATCTTCTCTTTAATCATGGCGAATAAAGAATACCGCTTCCCCGTCTCCTTACTGCCCGCCAACCTGCGCTGGTTGAAAATTAACCATCCAAATACTGAAACCTAGTCCTAGGAGAGGTGAAGAAAACATTCTTTACTCATTTTAGTGATCGCCTTTCCCACCCTTCAACCATCCTGCTAACCGCTTGATAACATTACATTGCATCATTGATGAAAATATCATTTATTTTTAAACTATCGGATAATCTCTACTGGCAAGGCAAGGCTATTCATATAGTAACGATTCAAAATTTTAAATATTTTAAAGTCACAATTTCGAAACTTGATCAAGAAATGTGCTATTCAGTTGGAACATTTAACGTTAAGTAAATACAATGTTTCGATTATTATTTTATGTAAATTGTTCAAATTTCAATGTTAAAAACTTCTTTCGTTTCCTCAAATGTTCCTTTACCAACAAGACACTTGTCACAGTACAATAGAATTTTGCTTAAATTAACTTTTGCTCAAAGCAACATTATTCTTTATAGATCGTTTACATTATGCTTTTGTTCGAAATTTCAGGAATAGTGGTATTATTGATACAAATCTTTACGTAGCATGTAATAATTATTAAACTCGTACGAATAAACGAGTCCATGAATTACTTAATTTAACTTCATTGAATTTTAATTGATCCAATTAATCAAAATACAATTGATTATATGTTTAACGCGATAAACTTATTATTACCATCAGGTGAGCCGCATGCAAGTTTGCCTCCTTTTGTTTTAAAAAAAATTTAAATGCGTTAGTATAACATTTAGTTTTAATATTCCAAGTGATTTGGTTTTTATCATAGACTTAGGATAATCAAGACGTGGTTTTAATATTCCAAACGTTATTTATAACATACAAATAATTTATAAATCATCATTTTTTTAAAAAAAAAATTATAAATCAGCCAGTTTTTTAAAAGTAATTAGTTTTTTTTTAATACGAGCTGCACTGACGCAATGGAGATATCAATAGAATACTGCACCGGACATAGCTTTCAAAGGCATCGATTGATCGTATACAGCCTCTAGAAGTTCACTGTAGTGTCACCTGAACACTTAGTTTCAAGCGATCTCTATTGAGCTCCTGCAGAAGGGCGTATCAACACTTGTGCACAAATGTTACAGTTTGTCAAGTATACGATGTTTCCTTCATTAGTATGTCTGTTGAGATTTTGTTACTAATAACAAAATAATTTAAATTTACCTTTAAATATTTTCCGTGATTGAAACTGTTTAAATGGAAAAAAAACGATAAGAATAAGTATTTTCTTGCAGTGAGGCAGTGATATAGAATATTGCGGTATTTTGGGAACAATCTCATATAATCTCAAAATGTTTCTGTATTTCTTTTATCACACACAATTATACTAACAGCAATAATAACAAATAGCACAACAAGAACAAGAGCCACTGTTTCTCAGATGCTTAGCACTTGTCGTAATTATTACAGCACGCGAGCATCCCGGATTCGATCACCGCCGGCACCATTAGGGTTGTCAATTTGCAGTCTTAAGAGGACTTTCCCTACAGTTTTAATATGTAGAGCTAACTGCAGTTATATTAATAGTATAGTTGTAGCACGAATGTGATTCAAATAATATTGTTGCGCGCCACAGTTGATGGCACTAGCGCCATCTGGCATCGAGTACCAGAAATAGGAATGTCAAGATCTTTTTGGAACTCTCCCAATAGCGTCATCTGGTACTGAATAGAAGAATTGAACTTTCTAGAAAGATCCACACTCGAACTTTCTGCACTTAGTTGGTCGGGACCGGTATTTGCTGGAACATTCTGGATGTTTTGATGAAAAAGACCTATTTAAAGACGTTGAAAGCCGTGATCGGGGCAGTATTGAATTGGTGATACGAGCGTGATCGTGAACTAAAGCGTTAAGTGTGAATAATTATTAGTGTGATTTAAGTTTTAATTGTTGTTCAGTAATTAAAGTGTCAATTTTCGTTATTCAATCGGCAGTTTTTATTGTCATGAACCTTAAGCTCGTAACAATATGTTAGATATGTGGATAACTTTTTCGTACAAAATATTAAATAGATAAAAATAAAAATTTTAAGACACGTGAAGACTGCCAACACCGCGGCGGGCAGCGCGGCTGACAATTCCTTCTTCTAACAGTTTTAAGGTTTACGGAATTCCACAAGCGGTGTTAGAATATCCACTACCCCATATCATCCATGGGTGTCCTGTCATGATGAACCAGATTTGTAGACGGTTTAAGAAAAAATGTTTCAGTATTATGACCTACGTAATCGTGTATATCACAAGATTGCGCTTCTTTCATGTTCGGCACAGGGTATATAACTGTTAAAGTAAGTAGCAATTGCTTTTTATTTGTTATTGTTTTATCATTGACCACAATATTTGGTATAATTCTTTGCATAACATTATTACCAGAATAGTTATCTATTAGAGATCAAGTAGCCTTAGCCATGTTACTAGCATTTTCTATTAAATCAAACGACAGCATTGCATTCTGAATGACTTTTTACAAGTGCCTCGTATAATGCTCTCAGAGCACCGATATTCGTGAATCGGTTCGCTAGGTATTCGGTTGGCTAGACCATCCTTAACGGTAAACGCACAAGTGCGCACCGTACGTCAGCGGGGTGCAAACACGCGAAGTGCGCCCACGCGGCCGGCGAAGCGCCCGTCGCTGCACCCACACTTGCAGCCTCTACGCTCAGCTTAAGAGGCTTTGGATTGTAAACCGATAGGAAGAACCGAGCGAACTCATAGGCACATTCTTGTTCTGATAGTACCTGCCCTTCATTGATTAACCTCTGATGATTCGAATCGCCTTTCCTAGATCGTAAAAATAATGAAATGTAATGTACCCTTAAAACGCTCGCGGTTCCTTTGCCAAATGTGCCTGCACGCGGTCGCGGTACTGGTCGTGTGCTCGTGCAGTCTCGGCTTTAAGTCTTGCCCTACAACGTCAGAACTCCTCATAATCATTGCGCTTTACCAGATTTATATTTTTTATGTAATTATAATTCAGCTTTATATTCTTAATTATTTCAGTTGTGTATCACACCGGATAAGTTTATCTTCTGTTTACTGAGTTTATATATTTTTCTTATCATCTTACCGTAAAATAAATTTAGAAAGTCATCCGGGTCGTGTATAAAGTATATCTCATTCCAGTCTATTTTTGTAATTATAAATTGTATAATTTAATAAAGATGATAATGTTGTGACCAGGATTAAGAAAGGAATGCTTCGGTGGTTTGGTCATGTGGAAAGAATGAATGAGGAAACAGTGACAAAGAAAATTTATGTTGCGGAAGTGAATAGAAGAGTTGGAAAGGGACGTCCTAGGCGAAAATTTATCGATCAAATTGGCGATTTATTGAAAACGGGCCAAATTAGGAGTGGTACCCTTAACCGACGAGCATGTTTGCGTAGGTATATGGATGTGAAGGAGGCGAGAGAGATGTGTCAGGATCGTGCCAAATGGAAGTCTGTAGTCTCTGCCTACCCCTCTAGGTGACAGGCGTGAGTGTTTATGTATTTATAGCAATAAAGTCGGCTTTATTAAAATTCCATAATTTGCAAGTTATCGGGAATAGAGAGCACAAGTATCGTATACACGGCGATCCAGAAGGTATAGTGGTTGCGGGGGAGGCTGCGGCGCGCGCTCCGTCGCGACGTGCACGGAAGCGGTGGATGGTACACTTGCACGGGCTGCAGACCCTCGCCCGCTGCACTCACTGAGACGCCGCCGCTAGTGCACAGCACGAGCTCCAACTGCCTGTTGTTACAGTTAGGTGCAACATTGCATTGAGTGAACCCATAAAAGGCCATGAAATATGCGTAATAATTAGAAATATTATTATTACAAGAGTACATATTAAAATCCCCTAATATAACTAAATTAGTTTTCTATTTGACACATAGTTTTCCTAATATGCTAAACATTAACATAAATTGGTTCTTGTCGGTCTGCGGTGGTATATACACGACATAACAAGTGATTGGGAAATATTGGGTGAATATAAACTGCAGCACAAATTAATTCAAACTTTTGACTGTCAATAATAAAATCACCTGGCACAGTCACTCGTCGCAACTGAAACCGCTGTATGGCCACTAAAAGTACGCCTCCTTGTTTGTGCCAATCTGCCCGGTCACATCGTAATATTTGGTGTCCGGGAGCACGAATTCTGAGTTTTGAATTGCTTCATTTAAGCCAGTTTCAGTAATAGCGAATAGATCAGATCCAGATAATTCTAATCATAATAAAAAATGTGTGGTCTTTGCCCGCAGTCCTCTGACATTATGGTACAAAATTTTAACATGTCTACTCGGTTTCCGATTTGTTTGTTTTGGTTGAGTGACGAAACCAAGTCCATTCACTGAATTCTACATTTTCTGGCCTTACTTCTGGATCACAGGGCTTCTCATAATTACTTAACGTAACACCAATCTTGAACGACGCGTATTCTCGCTCAGTTTTAGATTTTAATTTTTGAATAACGATTTCAAACTCGTTTCCCAGTATTTGTTTGATATACTCCTGTAAATTGTCTTCTGTAGTGCATTTTTCCAGTCTACAAACATGTAAACATTTACTACGTCCAACTGCTTTTATAAAAGCAACTGATTTGTTACCTCCGCTTTTTATAAGGTTTACTTCTCCTTTTAGTTTTGTTTTTAACATCTATCCAATCATTACCACCGTTATCGCCGACTTTCGTATCCACTGTTTTCCTGGCCGCCGCCGCCGCATAATTAGTTTCCACGGACTTGGACAACGCGGTCACCCACGCTTGATTGCCCTTATTGTTTGTGTTGGACGAAGTTGCCCCTTCCGTACACTCTGGTATTGTAGATATTAATCGTCGATTTTAGCATTCGGTACCGATATCATAACTTTCATTTTTCTCACTTTTCTCTAACCCTTGTCTCTCAGTTTTAAACATTTAATTTGTTATTGATAAGAATTAACAACTACATTTCATATTAGCTTCCTTCAATTCCTGCCTTAATTTACTATTTTCTAGCTTAAGTACTGACAATTTTTTTTTAATTTCCTGTATAATGTTGATTTTAAAAGCACTAATTTTGTCCATGATTATTATCTCAAATTTATCTATTAATTACGAGCATGAATTCACACATCTATTTAGGTAGGTCGATAAAGGAAATGCGGTCATTAAGGAGTATGCTAAAACTGAATCTGAATGACAGGGTAAGAAATTGTGTGAGAAGGGAAAAGTGTGGTTTGCAAGATTATGTCGTGACAAGGGTTAAGAAAGGAATGCTTCGGTGATTTGATCATGTGTTAACAATGAACTAGGAAAGAGTGACCCAACAAATTATATTGCAAATTCGAACGTTAAAGTCGGAAAGGGATGCCCTAGACGATGGTTTATCGACCAAATTGGCAATATATTGAAAATAGTCCAGATTAGGAGTACTCTAAACTGAAGAGCGTGTATGCGTAGATATATGGATGTAAAGGGGGCGAGAGACGTGTGTCATGATCGTGCCAAATGTAAGTCCGTAATCTCTGCCTACCCTTCTGGGTTACAGGCGTGAGTGTTTACGTATTTCTAGTCTAATTAAAGTCCAGGTACAAGTCACAAGAGCCGTGGTAGCTCAGATGGTTAGTGCTCGCTGTAAATTTCACAATACGCGAGCAAACCGGGTTCGATCCCCGCTGGCACCAATGAAATTGTTAATTGCAATTTTAAGTGCTGATTTACCACGTGCTCAGCGGTGAAGGAAAACATCGTGAGGAAACCTGTATGTCAGAGAAATAAAAAAAATATTTCGAAGACATGTGAAGTTCGCCAACACGCATTGGGGCAGCGCGGCGGACAATTCCTTGCCCTAAAACCCTCTCAGAAATGAGCGGAGGCCTGTGCCCAGCACTGGGACGTATATAGGCTGTAACTTTACTTTTTTTTTACAAGTCTCACATCTCCCTCTCATTGACACCTGGTGGTCCTACCACAGGTCATTACAGAGGTAGATTATGGGTCGAAGAGTGACGTAGAATACTGTTATTCGGCAAAAATTTGCAATTCTTTTGAGATAATTCTGTAGACATAATTTTGTATTTACCTACTGTTGACACCTTCCAACATTACATCAACTTCAGTAAAAAAATTGATGTTCTTGTACCACTGTGTTCCGGTCTGAAGTGATAAAAGAGCCAATATTACAGACTGTTAGTCATTCAATCTTATGTCCTAAAAGTGCCAACGTAGCGTAGCCTTCTTGGAAGGAAAAAAATAGAGCTTCATTGAAATTAATTTAATTAATATTTTTTAATATATTATGAATTTTGAAATTTTAGATTACATAGCAGCGTTGTGGTCGAAAGAGTTATCATGTAGAAGAATGAACGAGGAAAGAGTGACAAAGGAAATTTGTTGTAGAATAAAATAGAATCATTGGGAAGGAACAGCCTAGAGCTAGACGATAGTTTATCGACCAAATTAACGATATATTGAAGACAGGCCAGATTAGGAGTACCCTTAACCAACGAGCATATATGGTATATGGATGTAAAGGAGGCGAGAGACGAGCCAAGATGATGCCAATTAGAAGTCCGTGGTCTCTGCCTACCTGGGTGACAGGCGTGAGTGTTTATATGATTATGGTCACGCTAATTACTGCTCTTTTTTGGCATGCCTTCGACGTACAAAGCAAAATACATCAAAATTTCATATCTTTGGTTTAAATAAGAACGGTCATCTGTGATCCAGACCCGACAGAAACGAGACATATCTCAGTTGTTTTATTATTTTTATATAGTTAGACTATATATTTTTATATTCGAAATCAATGGCTACAATCACACACACAAACACACACGCTCACACACACACACACACACACAAAAGCGATAATGGCGCCCGAGTATCACGACTCGCCTGGCGCTCGCGCATAGAACGAGCGAAAGTCGAGAGTCTCGCTCTTTACGACGAAATAAATGTAGCTCTAGTATCTCGGGAACACGCGAGTGTCTATGCGCGACTCGACTCGCGTGTAAAACGCCTCCTCTAGACAGACTCTTAGAATAAATTTAAGAAATGGCCATATGGGATATGGAATCTTCAGACTATTCCAATAGAGTAATAAAACGTAGAAACTGGGAAAAAATAGTCGAAATTTTTTGTCATAAGTTTTTTACACATGACATTCGAATGTAGTTGAAAAATTTTTCGCTGTGTTCTCTGAGCTTTGGGTATAATGTTATGACATACTATCATAGTCATAACTAGTCATTCTGTCACGTAGAATTGGATGCAAGTTAAATCGTCAGCTTTCTCTTCGTTTACGACGTTTTCATCGACGGTATGCAAGCCACAACACAACCGCTGTATTCGAGTACATGTTTATACTACAAACTGAATCTCTTTCAGCGTAGGAACGCGCGTATAACTTGATATCTGGACGCAATATAAATTGAAACGCGCGAGTTCACTTGCTCGTAAAACGCCTCATCTGGACAGACTCTAAGGATTTAATTTCAGTGTTTTTTATTATTAGGAAATAAATATTGTACACATTTGAATGTTATGAAAATAAATGATTAAATTCAATATAATTAATAATACCATGCAGTGGCGGTTTAAGATTTTATCCACTACCATCCAGTAGATGCCATTCAGAATCCAAAAAGTGTCGTAAGGGGCGACAGAGGAAAACAAATCATGGGATGGCACTCTAAAAAAGAAGTATAATTCCGCCTCTAGGTCCTTCAAAAGAGTCATTGCCAGGGCAAAGTCAGAGCACATAGGCAGAATTGGCGAGAAACTAGTTCGCCTTCCTTATGGAAGCCGTGCATTCTGGTCTCTCGCCAAGGCTGTCCAGGGGAATATCTGCCATTTATTCCATCTCTGGATACTCCCTATACGACTCACTGGCCCATACCGGAGAGGAGAAAGCCGATCTGCTAGGCTCTTTCTTTGCGTCCAACTCGACTCTTGCCGAGTACGCCGCCGACCATCCCGCGGTGTGAGTGCTCCATGCCGGAAGTACAGTTTACAAAGCGCTCGGTTCGCAAAGCACTCCTCTCCCTGGACATTCAAAAGTCGAGTGGACCTGACGGAATCCCCCCAATTGTGCTGAAGACGTGTGCTCCAGAGTTGGTACCGGTTTTAACGCGTCTTTTCCGGTACTCCTACTCCCTAGGCGTAGTCCCAAAATCATGGAAGACGGCTTTCGTCCACCCGATCCCTAAAAAAGGCGACCACTCAGACCCGTCCAACTACCGGCCTATCGCCATCACCGCCTTGTTCTCCAAAACTATGAAGTCCATTGTCAACTGCCAGCTCATGAGGTACCTTGAGGATCACCAGCTGATTAGTGACCGCCAATACGGTTTTCGCCGTGGTCGATCAGCTGGTGATCTTCTGGTCTACCTAGCTCATAGATGGGCGGAGGCAGTAGAGTCCAAGGGGGAGGCATTGGCCGTTAGTTTGGTCATTGCGAAGGCCTTCGATTGGGTTTGGCAAAAAGCGCTTCTCTCGAAGCTCCCTTCCTATGGGCTTCCCGAGAAATTGTGTGATTGGATCACCAGATTTCTTGCAGATCGGAGCATCAAGGTCGTTGTAGACGGTGCAAGCTCTGATTACAAGCCTATTAATGCTTGTGTTCTACAAGGCTGCGTGCTATCGCTAACGCTGTTTCTTCTGCATATCAATGATATGTTGCAAACCCGTAACAATCTTTTTTATGCAGATGACAGCATTGGTGATGCTCTGTACACCGGCCGTGCCAATATTTCTCGGGAAAACGTCTCCGAGTTCCGGGACAAACTTGTGTCTGAAGTCGAGTCTTTGCTGCAT